TGGACAGGTTGGACAAATGGGCAGAAAACAATAGAATGCAGTTTAACAAGGAGAAATACCAAGTGTTGCACCTAGGGAGGAAAAATGTCCAGCACCTACTGCCTAGGAAATGACCTGCTCAGTAGCACGGAAGTGGAAAGGGATCTCGGAGTCCTAGTGGACTCCAAGATGAACGTGAGTCGTCAGTGTGACGAAGTCATCAGAAAAGCTAACTGCACTTTATCGTGCAGATTCATGACGAACAGAACCAAGGAGGTGATACTTCCCCTCTATAGGGCGCTGGTCAGACTGCAGCTGGAATACTGTGTGCAGTTTTGGGCGCCACACTTCAAGAAGGATGTGGATAACATGAAGTGTCTAGAGAAGGGCCACTCATATGGTTAAGGGCTTGCAGGCCAAGCCCTACAAGAAGAGACTAGGGCACCTCTTCAGCCTCTGCAAGAGAAGGTTGAGAGGCAACCTTGTGGCTGCCTATAAATTCATCATGGGGGGGCAGAAGCAAATGGGTGAGGCTTTACTCACCAAGGTGTCCCTGGGGGGGGGGGGGGGGGGGGGGGGGGGGGGGGGGGGGGGGGGGGGGGGGGGGGGGGGGGTCACAAGAAATAATGGCCATAAGCTAGCAGAGAGCAGATTTAGACTGGACATTAGGAGGAACTTCTTCACGGTTAGAGTGGCCGAAATCTGGACAGGGCTCCCAAGGGAGGTAGTGCTCTCCCTTACCCTAGGGGTCTTCAAGAGGAGGTTAGATGGGCATCTGGCTGGGGTCATCTGAACCCAGCACTCTTCCCTGCCTATGCGAGGGGTCGGACTCAATGATCTATTGAGGTCCCTTCAGATCCTAGCATCTATGAATCAATTACAGATATAGACATTTCAACATGAGCATTTTTGGGTCCTTTGCATTTCAAATTTACCTTTCACTTCCACGTACTCAGGGAGGGACAAAGCCTTAGAAGGGTCTGACAGTAAGGGAGAGGAGTAGGGCAAAAGTTGGTGGGGAGGGGGAGGGGGACAGGGAGGATTGCCCCAAGGGGAAGGGAGCCACCTGACTATCCCAGTCATTTTCCCTGCTGCAGCAGGAGTAGGACAAATTTGAGACAAACCTCCAATACTTAGATTCCATACCTAAAAAATTATAACAAATTAATACATTTTTCCTTATATAGAATATAATTTTTGGGAATGGCATCTTATATTCAGGGTCGTCTTAGCTTTGAGTAAATATGGTACCTTTTCTGGGGTAAAAGAAATGGGGGCTGGAAATCAAAAGGTAACTCACTTTCTGAACATAAATAAATTCAAGTTAGTGTTAAAGACAATAAGGATAAAAACAGCAAAGTTAGATTTTTGAAATTCTTGATATCAAACATACTAATTTAATTTCTTATTTAATTATACTAACCAATTAGCATGCCAAACCTTTGTATAGAGTTCCAGGAGTGGATGAGCAGTTCTACTGCAAGCCAGGTCCAGGACACTGATCAAAGTGGCAAAACTAAGCAAGGAAGCCATACAAAAAAAGACTCAAGAGAGATTGCTCAAGGAAGTCACTGACAAATCATTTAAAAATAAAATGCAAGTGTTTAAGTGATTCATGTAAAATTAACACAGTTGCATGACTGTCTAATAGAGCAATAAACATCCTAGAAAGATTCTTTCCATTTAAGACCAAAAATGTATAAAAATAAAATCTGATACCAGGTGAACAAACGTAATTATTCTTAATCCACATCTGCCAATTTTTAGTCTTTTAAAATTTCATGAGATAAAGCTAACAGCAAGGTCCAAATCAAAGAATTATACTCTGAAAGACAAATAAACAAAGCAAGTCGAAGTTAAGAAACACTCAAAATAAATACATTTTGCTCTCTCATCCACACACACACACACTCTCTCTCTCTCCCCCCCAAAAATAAAGTGTATGTGTACTTAATTTCAGTTTCTTAACATCTTGCTTTGGTTATAATCTTTAAACTATAATATACATTCTATGTGAACTCCTTTGCCTCTATACTTCTCAAGGAACAAATAAAAGAAACTTGATACTAGAAGATTAAGACAGCCTTAGAACTCATGACCCCTTCATACTAATGGGCACATCAGCCTTTTGGACAAATAGTTTATGGTTCTGCATATATGGATCAATATTTATTACCAGCTATCATAGTAACACTGGCCACAAAAGTTATGATGCACTTCCATCTGAACGGAAAATAATGGACAACAAAACTTACTCTGTTTAGAATCACCAGATTTTACTTCTGGAAAATCTAATAACTTTCCAAAAATGTATTAACTCCTAATATTGACAACACAAAATTGATTTCTAACATTTCATATTCTTTAATTCTTCTGCAGCCTCAGAAAGTTTTGTATTTTAGTTACAGTACTGCAAGGCACATACAGACCCTCTTTCAAATACACAGCAGATATACTCCCTGAAATAATTTAAAAACCCTCAAAACAATTAGAAATACTACAAAGTTAGCAATTTCTAGTTAAAAACATTTCTCCAACAAAACCATGCATTTTTTCTTTGAAAATGATTTAGCAAACAGGTATAAATGATTTTTTTTTTAAACATCTGTACTTGAAATATAGTGAATTTGAATAACTTATCCTGGAAAGTACTATAGCAGGTCACATTTTAACTTATTGCCTTTATTATAAGGTTGCACCCTCTCTGGCACCTTTAACAATTTATAGATTTCTGAAGGAAAGTGCTATGTATGTAATTAAACTCAACTGAAAGGACTGGCATGTTAAATGATAGTATCTCTTAAGAATAAAAGTGAACTCTTCCTTCATTAAGTTGGTTGGGGTATACAAATTGATTTAAGTGCATTTATTAAGTTCAATGCAGCGTCATTAGGAATTACATACACATTTTCATTTAGTCTTTTGGCCAAGCCTGTCTTACTATAAAAGCAACTGGAGTTTGAAGAGGTAGATTTTTCCATGATGTACTTGTTTATTTCAAATAAGAACAAAACTGGAAAAAAAAAGTCAACATTTGTTTTTGAACAAGGATCACAGCTCAGAACTTGGTACAACATTTGATACAGTTCAATATTTTAACAGTCCTAAGCAGTAATGGGCTGTTCAGTGTATTCCAGATCTTCGTCAGAGTCAAAAAACTAATCTACCAATTGTACTAAATCCTCCCCCACCCCCTCCACCTGTTGGTCCACAACTTCCTGGGGGATCATTATCATCAAATCCATTGGGTCGAAAAGAGCATGAGGCCGAGGCAGCTTGAAGTGCCTGTGTTCGAGCACTAAGTTCTTGTTCCTGAAATTAAAGAATAATAAATTAAAATCACTAATTAAAAAAAGAGACAACCAATTATCAGAAAGCTTATTTTTCACATGCCAGAGTCCATTTTGTAAATTATCTCAAATAAGTAATCAATAAGACTAGGAAAAACACCCAAACAAACAAACCAGAAAATATTTAGAAACAACTTCATATCCCAAACTGATTTGCCATTAAATTGTTACTTTATTTCCAACTTGTGATAAAATAATATTCACGGTCTCTTGCAAAAGTATTAATATTGAAGACAGGTAACAATGTCACAACCTGGACCAGGGTAGATAAAAACAAAACAAAAATGACGATTTTTTAAAGTTTAAATCAGATTTTTTGTTTTTAATTTAAATCGCACTTTAAATTTTTTTTTTTTGGTTACGATGCTTTTTAAAAAAAACACCTATATAAAGATAGCTTTAATTTAAGATATGTTAAAGCTCAAAGATATCATCATGCAATACAGATTATAACTTCTAATTACAGCAAAAGTGCTGTTATCTGGCACCCACGGGGAACGTGGGGTGCTGGATAACCAAATGTGCCAGTTACCTGAGAGGCCCGAACAGGCATCTTTGCCTGTTCAGGCCACCACCACTCCTGCCATGTCCAGTGCATCGCTGCCCTTCCTGCCACGTCAATGTGCTAGGGGACAAGAAGGGGGGCCCTCGCACAGGCTGCTATCCCCTGGACCATGGGGGCTCGGAAAAACCAGAGGTGCCCACCGTGGGCACCTCTGGTTTCACTTTTACCTTAAAAACTGGCATGCCAGCTAATAGAGCATGCCAGTTTGTAAGGTGCTGGATAATGAGGATTTTACTGTATATGCTATTTGAGACAATATATTTATGTAACCTTTTTTAGAAATAGGTCATAACAGGCCATGGAATATATTAGAGGCCCAATCTTATGGGGTTTTCAGAGGCTCCTTTATAGGTTAGTAAAGATTAAAGAAAACCACTCTACCCAATGGGACTCAGTGTTCAGTCTAAAAGATCCCATTAAACATCTCTGTGATGCCTAGTTTCAGCTCTCAAAGTGGACTTGTGTCTCCAGAAATCACATCCTTGTTAACAGCAGTATATGGAAATGAGAGATAAGAGACCTGATATTACCTACCCATCAGCCCTATTGTGTCTTTGCAAGTTTGTGTACACAGTCAAGCCCTTACCTCTCTAAAAGTGCAAAGTTCCAAGAATTGAAATGAATAGAGGATTGGAGGTGGAGTAGATTTGGGCAAGAAGGAGTCTGGAGATAAATACAAGGAGGGAGGGGCAGGAGAAACAGAAGAAAAACCATTTTGAGCAGAATATTCCAGAAGCCTTGAGGGGTAAGTTTCTGAGTATAGCCTCTCCACTGACTTGAGATCTAGTGAGGAAATGGTGTGGTAGAAGAGAAAAATCTATCATTGACAGCAGGCTTGCCAGGCAATAAAATAGAGAAGAAATCTAGAAAGAAGTGAAGAAACCCCCAAGCTAAAAACATGTGGCTGCAGCACTCATTTGATGTCCTCCTAACACAGCATGGCAAAAGCATCCCCCAAATATCCATGATTAAGCTAGTGAATTGGAGATAGATATTTGTGAAGTCACTGGGAGGCGAACTGCCTCAAGTAGCTTTGGTAAATAAAATAACCAAATCATACTTCAGTTTTCTGATGTAGCTGCAAAAAATTGATCTGAAAAAAAAAAAAATCACAATAAATCACTGCTTTAAAGTGTATAGTGTGTACCTTCTAAAATTGAAACCTCTCTCTTAGCTGTGAATAATATATATTACAGTTATACAAACAACAAGAATGAACTTTTTGTGGAAAGCTATGGTTAAGGCTTCTTTACCAGTGATTTAAAATCAAGTTGATTCGATTTAAATCAAATCCATCCTGACCTGGGCTAATAAACATGAATAAAAGTGTCAGTAAATGTGTTGAAATTGTCTGAGTTTCCTAGAACATAGTAAAGAATTTTTCACAGCAGAAGGAAAGAAAACTTTCATTTTAGCTGCATCTATCTGACACCTTACTAATTAAACTGGTAAAATGCAGGGTTGAGTTGCACCATTAAACTAACCAAATACTAACTATAACTAGACTCTTCAACTGTTTAATACGATGCTTCACAATTGTATTACTATGAAGTGGCACAATTATTAGGTCCCTAGTAGATATTAATATAAATCAGACAACTGGGAAACAGAGGAATTTTATGCCCCCCCCTAATCTCATAACCTATCCTACCAGATGCGACAGAGTACACAATTTGGGGGATCAAGGATAAAATTCATCAGCTCCCAAAAAATTAACTCCCCCTTATGCCTATGTAAGGACTGAACGGCATTCTCAATTCAGATTTTCCTTCTAACTTAAAAAACAAGGAAAGACCTGTAAGTAAGCAAAACTTATACTTGATTATATATCCCTAGGTTAGAGCCCTGAATGGTCCATCTCCTTTCACACAGGAAAAGTAGAATCCAAGGGTAAGATATTAAAAAAAAGATATTTTCCAATGACAGGAAATGCCAAATAACATTTAGCTAAAGGTGTACGGTGCCAACTTGCTCCTAATGACAGTGGTGGACACTTACAATTTATTGAATGAGAGACTCTGTGGAAGCAGATGGATTTAGAAAAAAAAAAAAGTTGGACATGAGAAACAGCAAACCACTTTTTTTTTTTTTTTTTAAACTCTCTTCCTCCAAAGCAATAGAGTGAAGGAGAAAAAATACCTGCAGTGTTATAGATGATTCCTGTCGCTTACAGTTCTTTATTGTATGTATCCACTAACATCTGAAATGTAATATTATGTTTGGCACACTGCCGTAAGATACTGATATAGTTCAAAGTTCTTTCCCCACAAAAAACTTAGTGCAACCCAGAGGTCATCTAGCTGGAGCAATTTATTTAGCTTTTTATGCATGTTAATATTCAAGGTGTGTATGTAGTAAAATAAATTATTCATCATCTTTATATAAATTAAAGTACTGAACATGTCTAGAAAGCATATATCGCTATTAAAAAAATCCCTCCTAGGGTCTTCAAGAACAGAAAATTACTGTGTGCCTTATGCAGTATTGCCAACTTTCATGGTTTTTGGCATTGTTCCTAAAGTCTACGCTTCGGGAAAATGAAAAAAAACACCACCTTAGCTCTTTTATATATACACACGTATATAAATATAAACGAAAGAGCTAAGTTTTTCACTTTCCCGAAGCATAGAATACAACCAAAAGTCAGGAGACTTGGCAATACTGCTTCTCCAACATTTGCTTGACACTTGTGTCCTCCTCCTGTCAGGCGAACAGTCTACTATAAAAATATAAGAATGGTCAATGTGACAGCAAACACAGCAAGCCACCAAGACCTATACCTCCCACTTGCAATATGAGAATACTGACACACAAAGTTCATATCTGTTTAACTCAGTCTCCAGAATTTATCAGAAAGAAGATTTCTTTACAATACACCATATCCAACTTATTTTTCCCCCGTTTAAAGGAACACTCATCTCATAATGTGCTGAGACAAAGTGGAACAAAAATGGTGAACAGCTGAATTCCTAAGCAATAAGCCCCCCACCATCTTGCTAACATATTCAAGACATGATCTTGAAAATCATTTTCAATTTGAAAAAATTATCAATACAGAGCATTTCCTTTTGCTAAGGGAAGATATGATCTTTATCCTTGATGGGACAACATTAAGAGGCTGGAATTTAAGGAAAGAATACAAAGGAGGATAAACCACATCCCATAAAGCTAAAGAAACTTTTTTTTAATTATATTTTTTAAACGAAACTGTGTTGGCTGGTTTTTCTATTTAATTAGAGTACTGCATTTGCAAGAAAGCTATTAACCTGGATTCCACTTGCATGCTACAAGTTAGTTGGGCTCACAAGTGAGAGAGTTTACGTGCACCCCATACCAAATGCCATTTGCCCAGTCTATGGGCAAAATTCATTTGGTTGACTGCCAAAATTTAATTTCTGAATACATTCATGAACAGCTTTCATTGGAATTCTATAGCACAGCTAAAAGTCAATAAGAAGGAAAAGTTTCTATGACATTTTATGTATTTGTTTTTATCCCTATTATTCTATAGAACTTAATAAAAAAGGTCTTAATAGGTTAATCTCGAAACCTAGAGGCAAGTATACAATCCTGATTTGAACATTATTCAGCTCAGCAGGGAGCCACCTTTTAGACCGACATGCTACAAATTAGTCCCACACTGTGTTTGGGTACCACTTCCATCCCCAGCTGCCACGTTCCATTTCTCCCTGCTTACCAAGCAGAAAGCAAGCGCACAAAGGCCGTACAGTTGTGGCCATATTTTAACCACAGTTTTGAAAAATCGCAAACCAAGAACAACTCAAACCCACAATCCTCTATAGTTTTAAGTTCTGAAAAGCACCTGTAGTGACCATTAAGAGCTCTTCAGAGTGTTTCTTAATTTCAGTTTAGGTTAGGTAGACAGGGACATCTCTGATAATTTAACTTACTGGAAGAAAACTAACCAAAATGTTACTATACTTAACAGAGAGTCTCAACTTAGCAAGAGGGATTCTCAAATGTTCATAGCATGGATTGTTTTCATACAGATTTACATAGGCAACAGCTTAATATCCTTGCTACACTGTGTACTTCAGGGCTTTCCAATTGGTGGTTTGAGGGATGCATGGAATCCTTGAAAGGTTAGCATGCAACCTGCAGGCTCCTGCCTGGCATCCACGAAGGGGCTACAAGTCCCAAGCTGCAAATGCAAGAGGGAGCTTGGCTGCACACAACACAGGCAGGTGTTATGAGCATGGCAAGGGGGGAAATCAGGCCACTTGTATTGTGGTGAGCAGGGTGGGCTGTGGCGGAGGGAGTGCTGGGCAGCCTGTGCAGCGTATAGAGCTGAAGAAAGATTGGGAGGATAGAAGGCAACAGGCTGCCTGCATTATATGAGCACCAGTGGGGGAGTGGAGCTGGGTAGGCTGGGAGCAGGGGGAGCTGGGACGCCTATACTAAGTGCTCAGCAGGGAAGGAGGCGCATGCCCCATGTCCACAGCCCCTGACCACCCAGAAGTTGGACTACCCTTGTGTACTTAATGAAGTTAGGATTTCATTTGGGTTAGTAGCTCCTTGACTATCAGCTGTTAGATTACTTTAAAAGAAGAAAACCCAGGGATATTTTACCATCCAGCTTTGCACAGAGTACAAGCAATCAAAGGACCAATCCAATTAATTACCACTACTGTGGAAATTCGATAGGGAATTGAACACACGAAGTTTTCCTGCAACAGGTTTTATAACACTGCATATGGAAAAAACGATCCATTTTACTGTATAGTTAGTTATAACAAATCCTCCTACAGTTATGGCATCTACATTATTATTCTCAGAAAGTTTAAATATATAGTGCACAAGTTGATCCACATTCCCTTAGAAAGTATCATCTTTCACAGTGTATGTTTTTATCTTACCTGTAAATATAATTTATTGTCTTTTGTAATAGCATCCATAAGTTCTTTCTGAAGAGGAGGATCTCCATTCATGCACAGTCCATTTGCTGAATTGGCATTGAAGCCACCAGTGCTACACTGTTTTTTGTACAACAGCACATAGGCAGTGTCCTTTGGAAATCTACTGGTAATTTTCTGGACTGACTGAAATGAAGTAAATGTCACTCTGCTGTCATTAAATAGAAACCATTCTTTTGACATCTCGTTAGTGTCTGGGTCATTTTCTATAATTGCACTGGGATTCTCCCCTGCCAATAAGTTATTGTGAGGAGAAATGAGAGAGAGAGTTTTTGATTGATGGCACAGTACTGAACCCGTCACATTTCTGGCATAAGAATAATAATGTCCACTTTCAGAGGATACACCAGAGTGCACTACAACAGAACTCAGTACATAGGGCACCAGTTGTGGGCAGTTCACTTCATCAGCACCCGAAGGCTTCAGTTTTTTAGCAAGGTTTTCTCCAATGTCAGAGAATTCAACATCCTCAGGCCAACCCCCTGACACTGTAGATAAAGGGGATGCAGTTCTTTTGACAGGTAACTCCAAAACAAGTGGCAGACACACATTGTCCAAGATTTTACGTCTTATGTGACACTTTGGATCGTACGAAAATCTCAGGAGAGTAAGAATGAGGTATTCAGGTTCCTCAATGATTTGCATAGTTTTCTCTGCATTCTGTAGAGAGGCACATTTTTCACAATAATACTTGTTTTCCCCATTAAGGATCTCAGGTGCCAGAAAATAATTCAGTAAGTCAGTAACTGAAGGAGTACTTTCATTTACTCCTTTCTGAGACGCATCTGTATGATCCTTAACTTTGTTCAGAGCAGAGTCTATAGTATTTTGACAGTCTGTCTCTGTCTCTCTCCTCCCTCTCTCTCTCCTCTTTCTCTCTGTCTCTGTGTCTCTAATTCATACAGTCAATATTCTCCTCTGGCCCCCTCCTGCTGAAGAATTATCAAGTGCTGGCTCTTCAGCAGCCACAGTACTAGCTTGCAACATACAGGCATCTTTCCCTTCACAATGTGCTATGGTTTTCAAGCTAACATTTTCCAAAGAAGTAGGAGGACAAAATGCCAGAGAGAGATCCGTGAAGGCTTCCTCTTTCTGAGACATGCTTTTGCAGTTCAGACAGCATATACTGGTCTTCAGTTTCCCTCCAAACATTTTCTCAATTAAAGTTCTCTCTTCACCTCCTGTGCATGGTGCTTCAGTAAACAGCTGTGCTTTGTGGGCAATTTCTTGTGCCAGGGACTCTTCATTCATACTTTCATGAAGCTTTGCTGAAGACAAAGCTTTCAAGGTTCTCTCTTCTTCATGCAGTCTGAAAGAAGAAATCCAAAAGGCACATTATTTTCTAAAAGAATACTTCTGAAAAATTTCATGCAGCACTTTTAAAAAAAATTATGCCAATTAATGGAAAGGTTAGCTTATGAGATATTTAGCCAATTTTTGAAGTTAAAAGTCAGCATTTTCGTTAAGATTTTCATATGATTTGCATTCAAATTTCAATATCCCAAAAGCCATATATAATAACACAACTCCAGAGAGAGGGACTTTTATGGAAACCTGGAATTTTAAAGTGCTCAAATTCATAAGAGCATTTTTACTGATTACTTCAAGATGCTATCTACTCATTCTCCATCTGAATCATCTATTTAGGATTCAGTAAGAAAGTTAATAAGGTTGCTACATACATAGTGGCTTAAGGAAAACACAGCATTTCCCTCACAACTGTAAAGTCAAGAACTCATTCACAAGAATGAAAGTTTCCTGGACAAAGCCTGGGCTGGGACGGGTTCGTCATGAATGATCCTGGCGTGAGCAGGGGGCTAGATGAGATGACCTGTGATGTCCCTTCCAGCCCTACTTTTCTATGATCCTAAGTTAGAACAAAACAAGCAAAAGAACAGACATGAAGGCAAGGGTGAGAAGGCTACTTTTTCTGTTGGGGCTGCATTTTGTAGGAAATTGCTTCAAAAGTGCAAACTGAGACACATTAGATGTGGCTTAAATTCTTTTCTAGATATCAGTTTAGGTACATGCTTAGCTGTAAGCATAGGAGTAGTCCCACTGAAATTACTGGTAATAAGACCACTCATGTAAGTCTAAAAGGGGCAATTACTAACCATCAGCAATGTGGTAATTGTTCTCATATCCACTCCCACCCGGCAGTAAACAAAAGCTAAAAATCAAGACAGTTTACACTCACTGAAACAGGACTAAATTACCACAGATTATTTTACACTAGCCACAAGGCATGAACACTTTCCACAGAGCAAGCAACATATGAGAAGTTCCCTCCTCTAATCCCTGGCTGCAATCTGTTCAATTTGCTAATGAAGGCAGTTTTCATTATCCACTTTAATGCTATAGCAGGACTAGTTAGTCACGATTCAAATATATCTAATTATTACGGCAATATACCTCACTGAGGTAGGACAGATACCCAGATTTTACAGTGCGTACAGAGGCAGAAGCAATTCATAGAACATGCAAGAAGTGGCAGTGTCAGGAATAAGACAGGGAAGTCCCAACTCTCAATTTTCTACTGTAACCAGTAGAGATTTGTTCTTAAATAAAACTAAGAATTATACAAGTCTGAAGATTTATCACTTTTTCTTCTTCTTTTTGCAATACCCATACCTGTCTAGCAGAAACCTGAGATATTCAGAGCAGTCCTGCTGGGATCTAGGAGTAAACCAGGGTGGCCTGGAGGCCTCAAAGAAAATCCGAGGAGCATATGCCTCCCTCTATCAGATGGAATGAGAAAGAAGCTATTTATACAAGCATTATTCAATAACTTAGTTAAACTACAATATTGACAACTGAAGTCTGAACTGCTCTTCTAAAGGAAGTGTTGAATACTGTCCATTAAATATATCATCTCCCTAAAAGGATTTTTCTCTTATCGGGGAAAAAAGGCACGCATATTGCATGCTTTACTAACTGTATCTAGTGCAAAAAAATAAAAATAAAGTGAGCAGATGCTGTGTAAACTACAACTATTCCACTGCTTGGATTCACCATTTCTATTAGCTTGTGGATGAGTACAATTGAAGAGATTGCGTGCAGTAGTCCTTATCATTGGCTATGACAATTTTAATTACATTTACAGTACACGTTACACATACTCCTGGACAAGAAGATTGCTTTCTCTTTTTCAGGGTGACACTAGCATTCTGCTAATACTGCATACTTTAAGATGATTCCACTTTTTAAAAATATGCTCATTTGCAGAAAATAAATTTTGCATGTCTTATTACTCTATTAGCAAAATCTCTTCATGTCTCAAAACACCTAAAAAGTTCAACTGAAATTCAGTTTTAAGAGAGGACTTTAAATGAAAAGACCACACAAACTAAACTACTCCAGGCTTAGAGTTTAACCTATTAGATTTACTTTTAGGGTTAACAAGCTCTACCTTTCGCCCACTTATAAACACCAGTTTGTCCCCATGTTACAGGGGTGCAGGTAGTAGCAGTTTGTCAGCATGATATTTCATCTGATTTGGGAACACACACACACCAGGTTTCCTTGAACTTATCAATACTTTGTTTGTTTGGTGGTGCCAGGTACTAAGTAACTGAAATAATTCACACACACACACACACACACACACACTCTCATTCTTCTAGCAGTATCACGTTTACATTTGCAAAACACATCTTGATCACATCTAGTACGATTAATATGCCTGCACCATCACAACCAGTCTTGAGTTTTGCCCTTTTCGTTAGACTTAAGAAAAAAAAAAGATGAAAGTGATTGAACACATACCTGAGTATGAGCCAAAAATGCAAAAAGATGTTGCAGCTTTTTCATTAGGGAATTGCAGCCATTTAGATTTAAAGATAATACATGTCTTCTGAAACTGAAAAGTAAAAAGACAGGAATTTGTTGCTTCATCTACAATGTATCAACCCTGCAAAGAAAACGTATTTATTTGACAGAAGGCAAAACATTTAGTACATGCTTATATGTTCAGTGACTGCTTTTGTATTATAGAAAAGCTTAGAAACCTTTTTCATAAATTGGAAAACGAATATTCTAGAACAAGAACCAATTTATTGCAAAAAGCTCTTCCAAGGCAGATTACAGGAGCACAGCAACAGCAAAAAGTATTTATAGTGAGTCTAAAAATTTAATATAGCACCAGAATTAGCACTGGGGAATAAAACCTTGTTTTGGGCTGGGAATGAGTGCAATATTGCAACTGTAAGCCAATTTCAGACACTGAGAAAACTGACAGTAATCACCTACATGATTACTCAAGAAGGTACACCACTACAATTTGACCCGTATACATTTTATATTCATTTGACAGAAATTACAGATTTCTTTTATGACACCGCAGATTTAGATTTTAAAAAGCACTTTCCTACATGTTCTGATTTAACAAATGATTACAGAGGAAAAAAGGGAACACTGATGCAGTTCCACTATGAAACTAAGAGCAAAAGTACTTGACAAAAAGAAATAATTGGTTTGTGAAGAAAGTTTATTTAACATAAGTTTTAAAAAACTTACTCTGTGGCCATAAAAAGTGCCTGAATAATGCTGTTCATATAGCACGTGTTCCCAAGATTAATAAGACCAGTTTTCCCCGTTTCAGATTTTCCAGGAAGTCTAGATAAACAAGATGGCAAGGAATTGGATTGAGAAGTCCAGGCACTTTGACTAAGAGTCAACTTAATCTTGTCTTCACTGGGCTTGGGCAGATCCTACAAGAGAGAAACATTTTTAAAAACCTTAACAACGTGCATCTGTATCTGTGTTCACAACACGCAATTCATCCAACAAATGTCTTTTATATCTTTTATTTCCCTGTCGTCTTCCACTCTTCAACTCTCACTCCCTGCTAGCCTAGAAGATGTGCTACAGTTGTCTTTGAAATTACTGACAGTGCTATTGTTTGGCCAGCCATCAAAGGCTCATACTGTGCATCATGGTCAACCAACTCCTTCTCAAGGCTGATTCTATCAACTCTGATACTATTGCAGGACCAGAGGTTTGGAGGTCACCTTTGACGGACAAGTTCCTGCAATCTCTTTATCAATGAAAAACTCACATAAGTTGTATATGTTAAAAGTTGAACAGAGGATACTGTGTTCTTCTTACAGACTTCTGTTCCATTAAGTTAGACCGCAGGAGTCAAAAGAATCAGACTAAAAACACTCAGAGCCGAGGCTAGATTTCCATCTTAACACACAAATTTAACCATCAGTACTTCACTGCAATACTTCTGATAATATACTTGCCAAAGCCACTCTTAAACTTATTACTTGACAGTAATGTGTTAAAAGCATACAGAATTGTAAGCTGCATGATTCACTTATGAAGCCATGCAGACTGATTTCTCCTATAGATTTAAATGTTCATTTTTCTTTTGTGCTATTGAACAGGTTGGTCAATGTGCATTCTTTTTTTACCCAACAATTAGCCTTAGAAGTAAGGTACAGACAATTGTAATCAGCATGACATAACAGAAGTCCACCTACCCACAACATACTTTGTGACTCCTTCTTCTACTTTGGCAATTAGTAGTTTTTCTTCAGCCAGGTCACTTAAAATGTAAAATAGGTCCTAATAAGTTAACTTACTTCCCTGTACCATACTCCTAGTGTTCCGCATTCTTAGTTTTTACTGATTTTCACTGTAAATTCCGATTTTTTAAGTCATTCGGTTTTTACTGATTTACATCAGTTTTTCAGTTCAAATCTCTGTTAACCAGCACGAGTGGGGAATGGCCCATTCCCCTATTGTGCCGGTTAACAGGGATTTGAACTGAAAAATAGGTGAAGCTGGAAAGATAAAAGTGCTACTATGCCAGTTACCAGAGGCACAGGTTTCCAGGCAGACATGAGGGGGGGCGGTGGTAGCAGCTGTGCAC